TATATATATATTTGTATATATATATATATATTTGTATATATATGTGAATTTATATGCATATATTAATTTAAATACATATAGATGAATATTTGGATATTTAATAATATTTTTGAATGATGAGTCAATAGTTTTTTTGCTGAGTTAGCAGTTGCGTTTGTTTGATTTGGAAAAAATTTAAAAGTCTGGGTATTTATGTGGGAGTTTTGAAAAGTTCAGGTATTTATATGACAATTTTATAGTTCGGGTATTTATTTGGGATTTTTGTAAAAGTTCGGATATTTGTATGTGATTACCCCTTGAATCAATATACATAAACATCTCTTATCGTAAATCAATGTATATATTTATTAGTTACACAAAAAAATATAAAGACTTTTAAATTATATTTATAAAACATTAAAGTTAATTGCATCTAATTATTCTATAAATAAACATTACTCTTAAGTACATGAATGTATTTACAGTTACAAATACAAAATTTTAAATGTAATTTATTCAAACATGATGTTAGGTTATTAAAATTGAAAGAATTTAAAAAAATTATAGATACATGTCACTCCCATATTATACAAACAGTATTTTTATATATATGATGATAATAATTGAGGAGAGGTGTAGAGATATAACATGTAACTTTTTTTCGGATCTATATAATTTCATGTATATAAACTAATTTTTATACACGTCGTTATCAATTTTTAAATAATGCATTATATTAAATTTTATATATAAAAGATTAGTAAATAAATTGGTAACAATAAATATTTACTCAAAGTAGAAAGAGGTGTTTTGAGCAAATTCATCTTGAAGAAATGCCTATAAATACAATGGTTGAATGCTAAAAAAAATTATATTATTAATAGAAAGGAACATGTGTCACTCCCTCAAGAAACGTCTGTACTTTTATATATAAAAGATTATATTAAAAGCCAAGAGACCAAACTGTTTAAGCTAAGTAGTAGAAAGACTTGGAAGGTCGATGTAACATATAAAAAATAATAATAAATGGAACATATAATGGAATAGAGGAGGATCAAAAGAAACATCAAATTGGAAGTCCAAAGAGGCTGGTTGAATCGCAACCAACCGCAACCGCAACCAAACTTGTGTTTTCTAATCGCAACTTCCAACTTGCGTTTTGGTAGCGGTTTCCGGCGTTGTGACAAAAAAACTAAAATATTTTTATTAGAAATTATATAAAACATTAATATATATATTGGTGATGATTTTGTTTAGTGTTATGATTTGATATTATTTTTTAGTATTATATTTTAATAAAAAAAATACAATAGTATAATTTTTAGGTTTAATAATGATTATTTTTAATAATTTTTATAATAAAATTATTTTTTTAATTATTTTTAAATAATATTTTTTTTGACAATTTATATCAAAACGCAACTGCAATCGTAATGAACCATTCACTTCTAACTGCATCCACGCGCAATCGCTACCAACAGCAACTTTTCAACCAGTCAGTACTAATCATTTATAATCGCTATCAAACGTTTTGAAAACGCTGCCACCCGCAACCGCAACCGCTGCGGTACAACCAGTCGAACCCATAATGGAATAGAGGAGGATCAAAAGAAACATCAAATTGGAAGTCCAAAGAGGCTGATGGAAAGCTTTTGCCCACCATTTGGAGCACCAAAAAATTGCGGATAAGGAAATGGAACTTGTTCGTTAAACTCATTGAGGGGACATCGTCTTTTAGGTTCGTGTCCAAATCCCAAAACAAGTTTGGTGTAAATGCACATTGTTCCAAAATTCTATCTGCTCATCATCTTCCCCCCCCCCCCTTTTTTTTTTTTTGAAGTGAAGTGGAAACGTGCATATGGTTCTCCTCTCGTGAGAGAGAGAGAGAGAGAGAGAGAGAGAGAGAGAGAGAGAGAGCACAAAAGACATAAAGAAAATGAACCATCTTTTGATGTTTCACCTTTATTTCATATGAGCAAATGACACTATAATGGGTTTCAATGAGGGAAACTGATGCAAAAATGATTAAGAACTTAGCATATGGAAAATGATCATTAGTGTCTTCTTAGCCTTCGTTCGTGTTTGGGGAAACCTAACTGAGTCCATGGAGTTGCAACCATGGATGGTTCCACACTTGTAATGAAGTTAAAACCGTAAAGAATGTGAATCATGTGGAAGTTCTAAGCGGAAAAAACGGAGAGGAAAACAAAGGGAGGAAAGGGCGTTACGATGCCAGAATGAGTCGTCGGCCCGTGGAACTGTCGATACGCTTTTCTTTCAGCGAAGAACGTCACTGGTAGGACTTGAGGTGGAAAATTTGGCAGCTCGGTCGGTATGAACTCTGGAGGGCAGCCTGCTCGAACTTCTTAACCGCTGCATCATTTTCCTCGAGGCTGGTCTGAATGAAAAACCGAACCCACCAAGATGGACTCCTCAGCTTTGCCTTAAGTGAGAAGAAGAAACAAACACCAAAAAGAAAACTGTATGTTTCAGTATATCAGTCATAGGCATATAATCAGGCAATGAGATTATAACTAATCTAGGATGATATCATGATAGAAGAGATGCTTCAATGCCCAAAACCTCCTGTTGTGATTATTATAATGCGATGATGGGCAGCCCGGTGCACAAAGCATCCCCGTTGAGCGGGGGTCCGGGGAAGGGTCCCACCACAGGGGTGTATTGTAGGCAAACCTTACCACCTTGCAGAATATTCTACAAGGGGCTGCTTCCACAACTCGGACCCGTGACCTCTAGGTCACAACGACAACACCTTAACCGGTGCATAATGTGATGATGACACAATAGAATTGCAAGACAATAAAGCATGAGCCTCTTGAAAAGATAATTAATATATTGGTTTTGGCAGAAAGAACAACAACTTTGAGCTCATCTTCTCTCCACACCAAAAGTCTTAAAACATCACTCTTTGTGCAGATAAAGTGTAAAGGCTAAGGAGGAAAGGCCCAGAAGTAAATGGTGGTTGCTCTTTGTTGGTCTTATCAGCTGCAGAAAAATTTTCGGGCCGGAAAGGGAGCTAAACAATGAAAACTGGACAGCAGCAGAGTTTGGCTCATAAATTTCATAACAATTTAAAACATTAATTTTGCTCGATAGGAAAAACCGATGCTAACATCAGCAGAAATGCCATGCAAAGTCTCGTTGAAATACCCAAAGCAAGCATACGGCAAATCATAAACAGAAATGGAAACGTGACCAGACCAAAAAAACGGGTATATGATGAATATACACCATCTTTTTCATACCGAAATTGTCAACAGATTCAACATTACGAAAGCTAAGGCCACTTACCGCCCTCCCGAATCTCGACACATCTGCCGACTTAGATCTTTGCTGACCTGGAATGCCTACATATGTAACCATCAACACGGTCATTGATTCGTCAAAGAAATTACTTACCAAAAGAAATGAGATCCTAATAAAGAAATTTAATTTTACAGAAGATCAATAAGTTGAGGCATCTCTCACCTGTAAAAATCACGAGGCTTTCGGCTGATACCCTTGCCAAATCTGGAAGAGTCTTATTGAGGTACCTTGGAGACAAGTAATCCAAGGCATCCGAAACAATCACGAGTGGAAATGACTTTGCCCGGTATGGCAGAGGAAACTTGATATCAGCAACTCGAACAGCGCCTCTATGGACGAGTCCTTTGCATTTACTGTCAGCATCCTCAAGATCATACGGTTCCACACCCCATGCCTCAGTGTCTTCTTCCTTCATGATGTTAGAAACAATCGAACAAGTGTCAGGACCGACGTGTAGAACCTTATGCATACTGTCCCCATACGTTTTCTTCAAAATTGGAAGCGCTTGCTGAACCTCCATGGCGCAGGTGTAGTCCCCTGTTTATGAATATATAAATTGCGGAACATGGTTAGATGGATATGGATGAGAGAGCAAAAATTCAAGAACTTGATGCCCAAATTAAGCATTTCTTTTCAGAATTCACAGGCCGCATCATTGTTCTCCAGCAAGAAGATATGCTGTACATGAACTCCAACTGCAGATCCCGGAGATAAGACAAGAACAGGACAAGAAATGAACGGGAAGAGGACATATATATTATATGTTACCTTCAACTCTACTGAAAGCCTGTATAGTGCGACCTGATCATGAAAATTGAAAAACCTGAGTTACAAATCAGTGGATGGAACACTTGCTTGAACTTCCATCACCAAAATAGATTGATAAATGCAACACAGGCAAAACAGATAACTCGAAACATGACTCAGACAATGCCCTACAAACAACTACTCGACCTGTAATACGTGGAAGAAAAAAAAAATCAATCAAGCAAAGCTAACCATTTCCATTACAATTTGTCAATAAACACAACGGGAAGGTAAATACCAAGAATTCAAAGACAGCAACTTTAACACAGACCTGAACCTCCACGGAGATAAAGAACGAGAAGCAACGAGCCCTGAAGAACATTTCACCAAAATAGACAAAATTCAAAATCAACAAATGCGATGAGATTATATACGAAACCAATCCTTTTGCAGAATCAACAATTACCAACACCAAGAGTCCAATGGACAGGTACGACGAAGATCTCGATTTGGAGCTAAACAAGCCACCAGCTCCTCCTCCTCCATCTCCGTACCTACGAGTCGGATTCGCGTGTCGTCTCGACATGCCTCCAGATTCAATCAACGAACAACACCCTTTTGTCTGATTCGGACCAAACAAGAAGAAGATGCGAATCTCGGGAATCAGAAACACTATGATCAACAAGCATTAACCCAAAACGAGGAAGATTCGACGGGAGAGAGAATGATCACGTGAGATTACAGAAATAAGCAAGTCGAGAACTGTGAAGACGGAGGATATTACCGATAGCAAGCGACAGAAGAAACCCAAACCGCATTCGCTGACAAGATCTGCCGATGAGATCGTTCGGGAAAATGTTATGCTCAGAGAGAGAGAGAGAGAGAGAGAGAGAGAGAGAGAGAGAGAGTGTGTAATGCCTTTGCACCTGACTCGCTGAATCAATCAAATCCAATGAGGCGCGTTTGTGTCGGTCATTGGAAGGAGCCCAAAATTTATATGTATTTCTAACTTTGACCCTTAAATATTGGAAATAACAAAACAGCCACATATTAAACGACACCGTTCATGGAATTTAACACATTCGTGATCGAGCCACTTTCCGCGGCAGAAAGGCCCAATATGCTATCCCCCTCGCAAAATTAGAAACTTCTAATTATTGTAAAAAAAAAAAAAAGTTCCCTAAAAATTTATAGTTTTATTTTTTTTTACATCAGCCCTAAAAATTACATCGTCTTGCTAAAGTTTTATAAAAATCTTTTTTCAGAATTTGAAAAATAAATAGTTACTCCAAAATTTCGATGACAATTATAACCTTTCAAACACATGATCATCCATAACGATGAAATTAATAGTGAATGTTAGCGATGAAATTAATTCGACTGTTTTCTTTCTAATTAGGTGTGGAGTCTGTGGACATTACTAAAAAATATGCTTTTATATTGCAATTTTTTTAAAATATAGTTATTTGTTTACCAAAAAAATAATATAGTTATTTGTCCATTTCAATAACCATGTCCAAGAATATGGTATTTCAGGATATTTCTCTTTTTATTTTATATTTATAGTTTTTTTTTAAGTATCAAGTCGTTATAGTAGTTTTTTTCTTTGTTGCAAAACATCCTCAACCCTTACATTATTGTACCGTTAGATGCGGGATAGTTTCACTTCAGTTTTTTTTGTTATTCGCATTTTTAGTTTTACAAAAATTTAATACAATTTTTTATATCAATTGTCATTAAAAAAATATATTTTTAAAATTTTTTCTATTTTAATTTTCTAATATTAATGTTATATATGAAGAACTTTATTTAAATTAAAGTATATCTCAACAGTTATAAAATTCAGTTGGGATATAATTAAGGAAAAAATCCTTAAAAAACCTCGAACTTACCGACCAATATACAAATAAAATCTTAAACTTGTAAAGCTGTTATTTAAACTCCAAATTTGCAATATTTAAAATTGTTCTAATAATCCGTTGACCGGTTTAACCACAATTTCAGATGATCGAAAATCTACGTTGGTCCAGAAAACTGATATCAACGTGTCCACGTAACCAATTTTAGATGATTTTTTGCTTCAAAACCTGATTTATTTACTCTTAAACTGGATTAAATTTCAACCCAAAAAAATGCTAATGTGGTAAAAAATCATTTAAAGTCGGTTATGTGAACACACTGACATCAATTTTTTGGGTCAACGTAGATTTTTGATTGTCTGAAATTGTGGTTAAATAGGTCAACGGATTATTAGAACAACAATTTGTAAGGTTGAGGTTTTATTCATTTATATTTTTTAAATTTCAGGTTTAAATGATAACTTTATAAATTTAAAGTTTATTTGTATATTCTTTTGTTCGAAATTTTTTAGGGTTTTTTCTTTATATAAATATTATTTGATACATTTTGAAAGCAACCATACAGGTAATGGGCCCGTTGTTGGTAATCGTCTGATTTTCCACTGAGCCCAATAAAAGCCCACTCACTGAGTTTAAAATTTTCTTCTTTTCAACTGTAATAATATATATATATATATATATATTGTTAATTTCGCCGATTTTGTTTCTGCGACGGAGAAATTGTCATGGAGAGAGAAGGTCGATGAATGAAACAAGACGAAGGCGGTGCAAACTGGGAAGAAGAATATAAGAGGGGAAAATATCAAATCCAAGTTCTGATCATAGTGCGACCTGATCATGAAAATTGAAAAACCTGAGTTACAAATCAGTGGATGGAACACTTGAATTTCAAGATTCTGTTTTCGTTCATCGTAATTTGTAAGCTACAGGGAAACGAAGCAAGTCAGGATCGGGAGAGGGTAAAAGAATGGGAGACAAGGATTCAGACCGTGACAAAGGTAAAGAATGGCAGGCCCCGCCGGATAAGACGGATATGAAGCTATGGGGAATACTCGCGTTCACTGTAATCGGAGCTACGGCCACCACTTTCGCCGTGAGTTATATTTTCCGGTCCGAAATTCCGTGTCCATGTTCGCTGTTGTGTGTGAAATTCATCTTATTTTGTGTTATTCGTGTGATTTTGGGGTTATTTGTTTTGATTCTGAATGTGAGTTTGATAAGCTGTTGTTCTATGCAAGGCTCCATTATAATGATTTTGCTAGTGACCTTTGCGTGATTGTGGATTCTTGGCTCGTGAGGTTAGAAATGGCGGCTTAGTAAAAATAGCTCACTTCATAAAATTTGGATCTTTTTTGGCGAAGTTTGCAACTTTTATGAAGTATTAGTTTGATACTTCTCGACATGTTTGTTGCCTTTTGGAGGTACCCTCTCTCCACCTTATATTGACATGTGTCTCCACCATTGTAGTACATCCGAGTTTCAAGCAGCTTTCTTATGATGCAATAATGAATCCGTTGTATGAGTTGATGATTGAAATTTATTAGTCTTAGACTTGGAGAAGAGACCTTTAGAGGGATATATAGCATCTTTGTTCACCAGGACAGCAAGAATTAGCAACATGAGGCTCTTTGATTTGGGTTCTCATTGAGAAATCTAAAAGACTTGCGAGATACTTATGCACCACTGAAGGATTTCCATTCAGTTCTCGTTTCGATTTTTAATTTTTTATATGTGGCTGAAATGTTCTTGTACAATTTTGTTTTTCGGCAGGTTCATCAGCTGCGAAGAACTTTTGATTGGGTCTACACCCAGGTGAATATAATTATATAACCAATCTTTTCTAAATGAATGTTGTTTTTGTGTCCTTGATCTTGTTAAAGAGTCTTCTGCTTTCCAGAAGTTCCTTAGTTTTCTTTATGTCACACCTTTTAAAATTTGATACTTCCCTTGTAAATTTCAATTTCAGGAAGCAATAGTTCCTTAAAGCTATCATCATTAGAACTTAAAAATGCATGCATCATTTGCAAAATTCTCAATTGATGATTTTCCCTCTCTCTTTTTCCTATCTGAGTCTAAAAGGTCATCAGCCTTTCATGTTGTTACTGGCTTCGATGCATGGCTTCCCCATAAACTTATTTTTTGTTGACCGAGCTTATAACCTTTTATATTATGACAACCACTAAAGGTAACCTGGTCACAGTCAGCCCGGAAAGGATCCAAAGGCGGTTCTTTCCGAACAACCTTCCACGAAGAAGCATGGAGAAGGTACAACAAACGGATGCAAGAGGAGTACGAGGAAGAGATGGAGAGAGTGGTAAGTTTAATTGATTTTTCTCCCATTGTGGTTCATATATATGCATGAACATATTCGACAAAATAAAAAATTGTTGAGTATTGGTTTTCACCTCCACTCAGCATGAGCCGGAACATCCAGCAGGAAAAAAAAAAGTTAAAAAAAAGGGTGCAGATTGTAATTGTCCATAAACATTCTGAGCAATAGCTTCTCAAAATCTCAGATTCTTCTTTCATCTCTGAGATTCCACCAGTTTCTTCTTATATTTCGATATTCCAGCAACTTGTTACATGATAGTGAATTGTGTGATCTAATTTAAATGCATTAGAATCTTTTCTTGGTGTAGTTCCTTTATGGTGCTCCTTGTTTGTCATAAGATTGTAGCATCAACAAGACCGCATAATACTATATTATTTGAGATATATCTGCTTCATATAACCCATTATTGGGCTGTGGAGATCACTTGAACACATCTTCTGTTTCTTCCAATCGTCTCTTATAGGAACGTATCAGGCGAATGCAAAGCGTTTTCAACAGGGAGAGGAATAAATTTAGGAGAGGATATGAAGGGTGGAGAGAAAACGATCCGGGTGCATACCAATACCACCAGCAGTTCCAGCGAGATGATTGGTACTGGAAAACCGAGGCTTCGTACAGAAACCAAGGGACCAATTTCAGGGAACCTCCAAGACAGAGCAGAGTCTATCCATTGTCACACCACTACTCAGTTCTCGGGCTCGACAGGTAACGGTAGAATGCAGGCTAACACAGCATAGGGTACAAAAGTGTTCATGGTATTAGCTTCTTTTGGTCACAACCAGAGTTTCTTATGGGATTCTGGCCATTATATTGTTTGGTTTTGGGTAAAGGTGTGTATGAATGTGGAGAACTACAACCCCTTTTGCTGTCTTGTACTGTTTCAGGTCGAGGGCAACTCCATACACAGAGGCCGAGATTAAGGTAAGCAATTGTAAACTCGTATTCTGATGCAAATATCACATGATCTGATGATCATCGATGTTAAGATCTGTGTATAAAGTCTCGATCATTAGGATGTTGATTGATTATTGCTTCTTTCTTTCGTGCATTCAGAAAGCGTTTAGGGCAAAGGCTTTGGAGTTCCACCCGGACCAAAACCAAGATAACAAGGGTAAGACTCTTCTCGTTTCGTCGTCTATTCCTTTCCGGGTTCCATTCTTTTTCTCATCCGGGAAAAAAATCTGTGATGCAGATGCGGCGGAAGAGAAATTCAAAGAGGTGTTGCTCTCCTATGAGGCTATAAAAAATGAAAGGAAAGATATGAAGCTGTGAAAGCAATGGTGAAGTCGGAGAGGTTATGTATTCCTCTTTGGTACCTTATGGAAGAAAAACAAGAGAGCGTATTCTTGGTGATAGGCTTCATTTGAGTTTCACACTGTGGTGTAAAAAAGAGGCCATCTACAAAACTCTCTTATTACAAATAGGGTTTTTTTATATATATATATATATATTATTACAGGTTTTTTTTTTAATTATTCAACTTATGTTGTAAAACTTTTTTGTATTATCTGCACCCGGCGAATAACGGTAAGAAAAGGCTGGTTTTGTTATTTTCTTTCTTGTCATAGAAAACTTTGATATTTGAAATGTTTTTTTAAAGGTTTCCAGGAAAAAGAAAACGCCTTGGTATTGTATAATATTTCAAGCGTTTATTAAAATGAAATTCTATTTTTCCATGATAGAAGTTGGGACAAATTAAAATATAAATACATTTTTAATTAAACAAAGAATTAAACAAAGAAAAAGATAAAAAGTTATGGTCTTAATGATTATCATTAATCACAATAGAGAACGACTTTTTTAGAGAAAATGGAAGACTTAGTAGATATTTTTCTTCAAATAAAGCTATTGTTATTTAAGTAAAAAATGATACAATTATGTTATTTTTTATAAATTTTATTTTATAAATTACAATTGTTTATATTTGTATTTTAATGTAATTCATAATTAAATTATATTTAAATATTTAACTTTTAAGTTTAATATTTTTATATAAAAATAAATATTTTGTACAGAGGCCAGACGGCTCTGAATAGAGGAGTGGAGCGGAGCGGTTCCTAACATTTCTGTCTTCGTTGCCGGGCGCCGTCAATGTCGACGGGGCTGAACTTCGACTGCTCCGATGCCGGAGCGTGGAAGCACGCGCTTTCTTCGTACGAGTCAAGAATCGAGTCTCTAAATAAACCCAACCTCGTCTCTCTCGACCAATTTTACCGCCAAGAACTCCCTTCTCTCTTGCATCAACGAGACCCTAACCCTTACATCACCACCTCTGAGCTCTCTGAACTCATGAAATGGAAGCTCACTCGCGGAAAATGGCGGTATCTTTCTCTCTCTCTCTCTCTCTACCCATTTCAGAACATTTCGATATGATGCAGGTTAATCACAGTATTTTCCCTTTGAATGCTTTGTGTTTTCCTGGGTTTCTGGCTTCTCTCTCTCTCTCTCTCTCTGTATATATATAGAGAGAGAGAGACATTAGATTCGAAAAGTGGATATATGCCCTTTAAACGATTTTGTGATTTTGTGGGCTTGTGATATCGTCGTGATAAGGCCGCGCCTGCTGGATTTCGTGTCGTCTTTGGACGAATCATCGGTGAAATCAGCTTCTGGAAAAGCCTTCGAATCGCTTCCCGACATCTCCAAGGCTGTGAGTGAACTCACGGTTCTCAAGGGCATTGGTCCGGCCACAGCATCTGCCGTTCTGGCCGCTTACGCACCCGAAACGGCTCCCTTTATGTCCGACGAGGTATACTTTTGTTTTTTGCGGCTTCTATGTATTGTGGATGCAATCAAACCAGCTTCATGTCTGGAGGGCTCTGATCATAATAATGGTAGCACAAGAGAAATCGCTCCTCTGATGTGATTGTGTTCTTCCTCGATGAGTTTCTGTGTTTTCTGTTTGATGTTTTGAACTGCGGTGTATAAGGAAAGGCAATGATGGCCGTTCTCGGGACTTCAAAGGATTATTCGTTGAAGCAGTACTTGCTGTTCACGAGTAAAATACAGGCGAAAGCTAAGGTGAGTTCCTTGGCTAATGTAAACAGTGTCTTTCAATGTTGGTATTGATCTGGTTGAATTAGGAGAATTGTTTCGAAAACATGGAAATGTACGCTTGATCGTAGATCTCTTACCTCCTCAATGTTTGACATACTCAATCATTCGATCCCGATCTTAATCTTGCGCACCCGGGCCAGTCTGTTCACTTGCTTGCCTGAAATATCTGTGAATACTGTATTCGAAAGACTGAAGCTTTCATCTTCTTCTTGTACCAGTACCACCGCAGCACTAAGCCTATTCTCTTCTTATGTGTTGAGAAACGTCATTGTACCAGAAAACCAGGTTACAATAAACAGACAAGCATAGACATGTTGTAGCATTTATGCCCACATGGAAAGAACTCCATGCTATGCTTGTGAATCAATCACATGTTTCTTCCCTTAACCTGTGAATTCTCTGTGATTGGTCTTAGACATTGCGAAACCGTGTTTGATAAAGAACTTCTCACCGCAAACCCACCATTATTTTCGTCGCTATGCCCTGCCCACCTAAGAACATTGCCTGAAAATCATTGGAGATTCTCTGGGGAAAGACGGTATGCAGATGGGAACCCGTCTTATCAAATTGATTATGTTAATGTCGTTCAGGAGCTGAGCTCGGAGGATGAGTCATTCACGCCTTCAGGCATTGAAAGAGCTCTGTGGAGTTCAGTGACAGATGCAAAGTTGAAGACAAGTGGTAAGAAGAGAAAACGGTGAAAAGATGGACCACAAGAAGAAGAAGAAGAAGAAGATGATGATGATGATGATGAAGCATTACATCGGACCGATGTTACGAAATGATGATATATTGTATTTTGTGTCTTCTTCATGTGTTTTTTTTTTTTTTTTGGTATTCTCTCTTTTTCCTGTTTGTATTTTGTAGATTTGCTGTTTCTTTTGTTAACCATATTCATTTAGTTCAATTGGAATTTACATTTTTATATTTTATTTGGATTTTCAATTTTTTTTAAATGGTATAATCTAATTTTAAAAATAAAATATTTTATCTATTTAGTAAATAATAACCCTGGCAGTTGGTTCTAAAATAATTTAAAAATTAATTGTTTTGGATTTGGTTCCTCCAAACCAGCATGGAGGGCTTTACACCACCTTTTTTTTTATCTCTTTATATTCGTTTTTTTTATTTCTTTTACTTTACAGTAAATTCGTTAATTTGAAATTGAAAATTAATTTATGCTTTAAGTTTGTCACACTTGAAATCCGTTTGATTTGGTTTAATAACAAATCTAATATTTCATTCTAACGAGTTTTAGTTTTTATTTGATTTAATTCATATGAGTTGGTTTGGATTTCAATTCAATTAATTAAGATTGAAAAATAATTAAACCGAACTTAATTTAGATCTATAAAATTGAGAGTAAAAAAGATACCTCATTAGTTTTTTTTTAATCAAAGTAGCACATTAATCTTTTATATGATTTAGGAACCGCCTATTTAATTCGTTGAATCGTACAATTCTTTATATAAACATCTTATATATATATATATATATACACAACATAAACACCTCTCTCTATATATAAACCTTATATTATAAATATCATGGATTATTCTACTAAAAAAACTATGAACAGTAAGAACTCATAACATTTCATCTAAATTAATTCATTATCAATCACCAAAATTTCGGTAAATTTTCAGATTATAAAAAGTATTTCACTAAATTTATTTTGTCCAAAATTAAGAGATATATAACCTTTTCATGTTATATCAAAGTTTTTCTAATAAATCAAAATCAATGATATCACAACTAGTCTTGATAGAAATTTTATCCGACTAAATCTTTAATATAAAAGCACGAATAGATTAAATATTTTATGTCACAAATAACATAGATATCGTACACAGGACGTGGCGTGATTTTATTCAAAAATAATAATATCTTGCGTATGTTTGTGTATATATATTTTTTAATATGTAACAAATATCTTACGGCGATATTGTTTGGAAATGATTCAAAAATTAAAAAGTATATTTTCATCAATTTGATAGACTATTATTTTATTCGAAAATATTTTTTTACTCTGAGATAGAAGACACTATTGTTACACCAATTAAATTGTATTATTTCTTTTCAACGGTTGCTCGAACATGAGATCCATGATAAAGATTAAGTATTAAACTGTTATAAATGAAAAGTATAGGATTTTATAGGCAATTCTCCATATTAATAAATATATTATTAATATAAACAATTATTAAATGGACAAAATAATTTAACTTTGACGTTAAGAGTTGTTATGTCAACGTTTACCCTTTTTACAATTTATTATTATTTAAAAAAACTCTCTCAATAAAATTATAAATTATTATAAAATCTTTATTTTTTTTAATGAATATCTTTTGTTTAGTTATTTAATTTAGGTCAACCCCAAAACAAGTATTTGACTTCTTCCCATCAGATCATATGATTAGTACTCTAAATCTTGGATTTAATTAATCTATTTGTAATCAAACATATATTGAGTATAACTACTTGAAATTAGATGCAATGGATAGTATATCTTTTTCATACGACGATATATATACAGTGCTCTCTAATTAATGGATGAGAATTCCTTGTAATTAAAACAAGGAGTAAGCATTTAATGAGACCTCAATTATGCAATCTCGCCACCTTCTTATTCATTAACCGCATGCTATTATATGAATGACAATTTAATCTTTTGACCCAAAAATAGTTTGAATTCTTTTAACAAGGACAAACTCGAATAATATATATATATATTTATATATATATATATATATGCCGTCTTCTTTGGATTGTAGAAGGTTTCCGAAAGAGAGAATATTTTTCTTTGATTATTAAGGATTAATTTTATAAAAAATAACACAAATATTTATAAATTCTCTATTCATATCATACAAGACTTTTTTAAATTTAATATGCTATGCTTGTCAGAAAAAAATATTTTTATTTAATAAAAAACCTGAAACTCGATTCGAATTCGACCGAAGCCCTGTAGGGCTGGGTTCCATACCATCAACTATAGAGTAAAAAATAAATGGGTGAACGGTCTTGTACGAAAAATTCTAAGCTCGAATTGAATCCGAACCGACCGAACCGAATTACACGTGGGTGATCAGCAAACCGAAGATAATGTCGAAGGAACCCAACCTTGAAAAGTTTATGAGACAACAAGGTTCGAGCATACAAACGAAGATCTTCTCGACACATCAAGGCATAATTGATTCTGCGCAAATGATAACAATAGAAAAAAGACAGTATCGAATAAAAATGAAAAAATAGAAAGTTCGAATCCAGATATCAAAAGTTACAAACACGGTGCCATACGTAAAACACACATGATATATATATATATATATATATATGTATACATTATGAATAAATGGATTGTTTAATGTAGCAGTAATGCATGGACCATGCGAGTAAAAAAACGGGGAATTGAACATGAACAAATGTCGCAATCTAACGATAACGAGTCAATAGCATTTAAATAAATAAATAAACAAAAAAAACTTCTAATAATTCCTATATTTTTTTAGTATCTCTAATTATTTTTAAACTTGCAAAAAATGATTTAATAATTTCTAAAATTAATTTTGTTATCAAATCATCCGTGATACTCAAATTTCAAGATATATCAGAATTTTGTATTATGTATATAGGATCATATTTAATAAACTCAGTTTAATAAAATCGATTCAAAATAATAATAATAACATATTCGACGTAATGTAAAAGTTTATTAAATCCGGTTCAAACGGATTTTGTTAAAACGGAGAATTAAACATGGACAAATGTCGCAATCTAACGAGTCAATGGCATTTAAATAAATAAATAAATGGATTCAATTAACAATGACGCCTAAATGAATAAGACATGGGAAGCATAACAGATCATATGTTATTTTGCACATTTCTATCTATTTTATATATTTATACATATATGATCTATTTGTTTATGTATATATATAACAAACAATACTATATATCCAAAACACTTGCAAAGTTAAATAGGGTTTTGTTAATGTTATAAACTTAAAATGCAATGTTTCTTGCTAATGACATGGACGTGCACGAGTTCGTTATATATAATATACGTCTACTACTTGGAAAAATAATTATAAGGAACCACGAATAATTTTATACACGACTCTTGTTATATCATAACAACTATGATATTTCTAATTATATAATTGAATAACGCTTAAAAAATTATTTTTGAATAAGGCAACTGATATTTTTATTCGATTACTTATCATATTCGGATAATTGGTCACCTTTTCAAATTAATGGGCGAATAATTACCGTGGAGTTCGATTAATCACCATTGGTATGATTAATTGCGATTGATCCTGAGTTTTGGATCTATGTCTAGTGGCATTAATAATTATTTAGAAAATATTTGTAAAATAGATTAGAATATGGAGACTAACAATTTTGGCGTAACCATGCAAACCGACATTTAATGTTCTAAAGAAAGACATGATGACATAAAGTAAATGGGTCCACTTCTCCTATCATTTGATTTTTTATTAAATAAATTGATTAATCACTCGTGTCAAAAGAAATTCAAAATTTGAAACTGATATTATCTTTTTTAAATATGGGAAAATCAGTGTTTCACACATCATCAACTCTTAGGCTAGCACATCCATAAAGTTAAACACTTTCGTTTTATTGTAATAAAAAAAAAAATTAGAACACCAACCCAAAGACCCTAATTGAATAACCAACGAATATCCACTGTCAAATTATATACCTTATCTTTTTATACAAAAATTATTTTTATACAAAAAATAATATTTTTTTGTGCGAATTAAAAATAAAGATTCCACGAGAATGTGTCGGCATAGTCTTTGAGATGACCCCTGGAGACAGTGTGTCCCAAAACTAAATTAAATTCCCGTACTCATATATATATATATTCGCATTATCTTTATATATTTAACTAAAATAGAAAACGTTTAATTAAACCTCCTTACCATTATGTTATGAGTCGCCCATCATTCAATATATATACATTGCCATGGACCGACATTGCACGGTTTTTTCGAGAAAATAATGAAAAATATATATTTTATTTACATCATTTAACATTTATGGTTCAAAACTTGCTGCAACCCATTTTCTTAATTTCTATATTTCTATAGTTATTTCATGGACGAGACAAATTTATATTAATTTAGTTGAAATTGTATTATTAGACAACGGGATTCTTTTATTTACATGTCATTAACCATTCAAAAAATAGTGTAGTTTTGTTCATCAAATTCCAACTTCCAATGATCCCAAGTGTCATTTGTGAATTGTTTTGCTATTCGAATTATTATTTTAGTATTCACACTGTCACACACAGAAAAATATTATTTATACTCCTTGTAAAATACCCAATGGTTCATATAAAAAATTATAGGATTTCAAAAATAAAATTAAAAAGAAAAAATACTCGTACCAAGCGATATCTCAAATGTGTAATTTACATAATATAATATCACTTTCATTCTTTTTCATTTATTTATTTTTATATATTATATTATCAATTAAATATTATGACCCTCTCTTGACGCATTTGTTATTTTTTGGGATGAGAAAAATACAAAAATAGAAAGCCTCGGTCCCCGGCGGAATTACGGATAAAACGGTGACGTTTCATATTCCTGAACAGGGGGCATGGTATTGACACGTGTCACTTCCTCAGCGATTTCTCCACACATCCGTCATGTGGGCTCTACGATCACACACGTATTCCCTTTCACATGCCCCATTTGGAATCTTGGATACCTTACGTGGAATTATTCCATATTACCGCTTACCATATGAGTTCGAATAAATTCAATATTTATAAAAATATTCCACAAATCATTATATTTGTTATTTTAATTTTATAAAAATAAAATATAGTAAAAAATATATTTAAATTGATTAAAAAATAAATAAATTAATAAAAATATAGTTGTTTGATATTTTTATGATATTTTATGTTTTATTGATAAATGGGATTTTATATAAATAAATCTGTTTAAAAGTTGAGATTTTTGGATGCTTTAAAATATTTATTTAATTTTTTTTATAATAATTTATGGTTTACATGTATTTTTTAAATCATGAAATTTCAAGATAATATTATTGTTATTAGTATAAATAAATCGGTTAGTTTTGAAAGTAATAATAGAAAATTCTAAATTCGTTTCGTTAAAAACAAGAAAATTCTCATTTCTTCTAATAATAATATGATTTAACATAAATGAAACTTAACAGAAAATGTCCAATTAGATCAATAATTGAAAGGGTTGTGCGAGCCATTCCGTTATATATTTTTCAAATACAGAATATGCCAAATTTACCAAAATTATCAAATAAATATATTAATATTTTTATTATTTGTAAATTATGTGAACTAAGATTTTAAAAAATATAAATTTCTATTTATAGATCAAATTGTTGGATTTATAAGATATGTGTTGCATACATATTTAGCAATTTCAGATGTTTTGTAGATTTCAATTTTCTGAAATTAAATTTATAGGCCACCAAATTAAAACAGCATTAAAGGTAGCGTTCCAAACCCTAGTGTGTGCATACGTAAGAATCGGTGGCAAACTAGAAAATATTTCTGAAACACAGGTCCCTTTTCACGTGACAAATTTACCCCTGGCGCCGATACAGCTGTTCCTGTCGCGAAAGCTTTCACAGCCGTAGATCTGTCACATCTGACCATCGTAAATCACATCGTACGGTTAGTATTTGACAGAGAAACGGAGCACAACTTTTAGGAGTTAGTTAGGGCAAGGATCACGGTAGCACCGTAACTAACATCACATGGAATCTTTATCCGCGCCATAACGGGATTTATCCGAAATGAAATTACTAAATTAGCCCTCGCGGTGTAACCTGATCATGGATTAGAAATTGTCGGTGCTTCATCTGGAATTAGGGCTAATTTAGTAATTCGCTAATCTATCTCCTCGCCAGTTTTCGCCAGCTGAGGTGGCCAAACCGTAGATGCATACGTGGCGCGTGGCATTCACACCGAAATTAAACTTAACCACAAAATCATGACGTTAAATTCGGAACAAAATCTACTTCAATAATATTTTTCGTGAATTTATCACATTTTAATTTAATAGAACATAACATACTAATTTAGAAAATCGAAACTAAATCGAATGTTTTTAAATTTTATTTTAATATATGTTTGGTTAATTCCCACTAAAATATTAAGAAATAAAATCAGGAATGAAATTACTTAATCTTATTATTCATGTCCATTTTTAATTATCTATTGAGTTAAAATAAGTGTGGTTATGATTATTTAGGAGTAGAGTAATACAAACCTATAGAACCAGATTTTTCATGATTATTTTACCAGAGAAAGCACGATTGGGAAATAATTATAACCATAATTAATGTTTGTTTAAACTTAATTAAAGGCTGTTAATTATTGATGATTAATGGTTCTTATTAAGGATACGTGATTAGGAGGCGCGTGGAGATTACATCAGACGTAAATTAATTAACGATAAAAAAACCGTATTAATAACCAAAAGGAGTTTAAAAAAAGGCAAATGTATAAATGAATGGTGCGGCAAAAGACTTGGTCCCTCTCTCTCTCTCTCTCTCTCTCTCTCTCTCATCCACTCATTACGTTTTTTTCCCCACCGTAGTAAAAAAGCATAATCCAATAACTAAAAAAAATTAAGTAAAATTAAAAATACAAATCGATAAATCCAAAATCCAGAACCCGTTTCTATTTTTGTGCTCTTCTTCCTCACGGCGTCATTTGGATAATCGCATAATTATTTTTTTTCCATCGTTTACAATCTCTCCTTTCGCGTGTGATCATTAACTTCGAGGTTGATTCGATTTCCTGGTTAATATCACACGCGAAATAATCAAGATTTCTGTGTTAAGTTGTGGATAAATTTAATCGTAGTTGTTGGAAGAAGAAAATAGATTTTAGTTTCAAGAGACAGAGCTCTTTTGTGTTCGTTCTTGTGTCCTTGTCGGGAAAGGTCAAAAGTGGGTGCGTGTGTGTGTATATATATAGGCGTGTGTTTGTATTTGTGATGATTTTTTTTTAATTACTTTAATCACTGCCCATGATTTGAGAGATCTTTGTCATTTCCATTTGACTGATCTCTTTCCCGT